TTCTCAAAGAAAACTTGAACCCTCCTTTGCTTTCTCCACTTTGAAATGGCCTCGAAGACCAGGTCAAACACCCCAAAGGGGAAGGGGGAAGGTTCCCCTTCCGTCACTGCCACCACTGCCGCTGCCGCCCACTGGCGTGGCCCAAACACACCATGGTAAGTCTGTAACTGGCGATCTTGACAATGAGGAAGACGAACAAACACCTGTTCATCTTCTTGCGAACTTCGTCCACTTAGGCGAGGATCTTCTATTCTCGCGAGCTTTGACCTTTGTCTAGCTCTGCTCTCACCAGGTGATTTCTGTTTGTCTAGCGAACTCTTCTTGCTTGGCGAGCTTTGGCCTTTGTCAGGCGAGCTAGATTGTCTGGCGAGCTTCTACCTTTGTCAGGTGAGTTTTGTTTGCTCGTTCGCATGATGGAGCTCACCTACTCTTTGCAGTCCGCCTGACTTCAAGACTTAGAAATTTTTTAACCTTTTGAAGTCAAAATTTCTAACTTCTTTCCGTTGTATTTTGTAGCTTGAGAGAGGCCCCCGTTGTTAGGCCTCACAACCTAAGATCCTCTGGAAAGAGACCTCTCTCCAGAGAGGAAGCGGACTAATATGAGGAGATCGCCCACAAGAGGAGGCATCGAGATTGGAATCTGAGCTCATTCTAATATATGATGACGAGGAGGAGTTGCCCACTCCGGCATCTGCTCGAACATACTCCCTACAACCCAAGTGTAAGTCTAGTTTTCCTGACCCGACCAACATAACGATCTCTAGATGGAGGCCACTTGTTGATGACGACGGGCCTCTCCCCCAGGTGCAGCCTATTTCTATGATGGCCCCAGGTTAAGAATCTGCTTCTCCGGACCCCAGATTCGTGCAAGACCTCATCCAACGGCTAGAGAATGCTATGAAACAAGCAATATCTATCACTAGTGTTAGGTGGGGCACCTTTTTTTACTTTTACCCCTTTATAGCAGATAGCTTGAAGGATATCTAGCGCATGGGCGGTATCGGGCTTGCCAGGCGTTGTGAGCAAAAGCTCATTCGCCTGGAGGAAGTTATGCATCGCCTGGAAGGGCTGGTGTTCTCCGACCCACATGATGAGGTTGCTCCACTCCTAATCAAAGCTCAGATCAAAGCTTCTCATGAGCGTAAACCTCGAGAGAAGAGGATATAGGAGCAGGAGCTTATTGTCGTGAACTTGTGTGAGCGGCAACGTCACTTGCAGACAAAGATAGATGCTTACAACAATATTGCCGAGTGTAGAGGGGTCAGGACTGCACAGGGAGAGGCGACCCTGATGGGCATTAAGCTCGAGAGCACCAGAATTCACGATGCTTATAGAGAAGCGATGGAAGCTCTCCATGCGCTGTGTCGAGAAGATGCGGCTGCAACTACTGCGGATGCCCTTGCTGAGGCCGAGCTCTAGAAGGAGGCTAAGGAGCAGATCCGAGCGGATCGGGAAAAGAGGTTGGCTGCTGTTACGGGTTTGATTTGCCTTTACCGATTACCGTTTAGATCGGTCTAGCCATACTATGTCACGCCCCGCTTCCCAAAATACTCAGGAATCGGAACGTGAACAAGTCCGCGACGTATTAGATTGAGAAGAAATATATACTATTATTTTTTTCTTTTCTTCTCAATCCAATACGCTAAGCGTCAAAAATATAATATACGAAGTCACAGGTCCCCGATCACACATAGCAAGAATATAATAACAACCCAGAATAAGAAATAGACATATCATCAATGGTAAATCATCCCAGACCTAAAAATATGGGTCAAACACGCCCTTATTACAAAACGGTCCAACTAAAAATATAAAAATACTTATTACAAAACGGTCCAACTAAAAATATAAAAATACATAATCCAACAGAAATAAAGGAAAGTACTGCTAGAACAACTAAATCCAATATCAGACTAAAGTAAGGTTCTGCAAAAGATATCTAGCGCTTATCAACTACTACATAAAGAAAAGTCTAAGCTTCAGATTGTTCCTCTGATCCATCTGGAAGACCTCACTGCTGCAAATCCTCTGGCTCTTGTACTATCCCGAACTGAGGCTGTACATCTCCTAAATCTGACGTACACCCAGAAAATAGGAGTACGTCAGCGTGTAAAACACACGGCAAGATCCCCCAAGGCAAGAACAAATACAACAACGATAATGATAATATATGCGTGGTCAATGCGATAACAGAAATAAAAATAGAACATGTGATGATAGAATAACAATAGAGGCGTGCAACTGGAATACTAATAATCAGACGAATCCAAAAATCAAATGGATAACGAGATCATGCAGGTAGCGATCAGAAACCATCCAAGCAACAAGATCATACAATAGATAGAATTAATATTTAAAAATCTACAAGAGACGTAGTACGTCGAGCGAAATAATCCAAACAAGGAAACCCTCATGTATATACCATATGTCTCAAATTATAGATAATTAAATATTAATCCTGATCTATGTATGAAAAGAACATAACTAGTCATCCTATCACAACTCACTGGTTCACATCTCACTAGAGTCAAGGTTCATATTCTCGGATAATCGATTGTTCACCAAATCATTTACGTAAAACTTTTCACTACCCCCCTCAGACCCACGCCAGCGCTACACAGGAATATCGCTGGTGCGAGCCTGGAAATAATCACCTCATATTGATAAAAAGTCCAGAGAACAATTTGAAATGGAAATCTTCCGCTCTTGCAATTGGGTCGTTGCGATTACGGGTTGGATGTCTAATTGTCCAGGCGGTAATGATAGTATTGGGTCGTTGCGATTACGGGTTGGATGTCTAATTGTCCAGGCGGTAATGATAGTATCTTGTACCTGAACTGGTGGCTCACTTTTTCTAAGTAATGGGGAAGAGGACCGAAACATGCCACTGAAAGACTCTACTGAGACAAAAAGATGGGCTGTCAAGAACGTAGAGGAGGTAGGATGGGCAGTTGGTCAGATCTAGTATGGATCGTACATGGACGATTGTTGGAGTCTTCAAAGGAGGTAGAATCTCACCTCATAGACCTAGCAAAAAAAAGAATCAGCAATATCATATCACCTCAGACCTACCCCAATGCTACACAGGAATATCGTTGGTGCGAGCCTGGAATAATCAACAATCACAATATCATATCACCTCAGACCCACCCCAACGCTACACAGGAATATCGTTGGTGCGAGCCTGGAATAATCAACAATCACATCTGATCACCTAAACCAAGAATTCCACATCTTAACTCTTCTCGCTTTTCTAAGTCAACAAAACACAGGTATCTAGGTCCTATACACGACACGCTAGGCCACTAAGTACATGAACTTTTAACGGTTATCAACAAAACAAGAAATAATAAATAAATACAACTATTTTATGCAAATCATATGATGAACATGACTATATAGACTAGCGATGAATCAGGTATGCATATATGACAATGAGTGAGTATAAATAAGAGTGTCAACATGTCGGTGTCAAAGTACATGAAATGTCGTGTTCTTCAACTATAAATCACACAGTCATAATACAAAAATAATCCTTTTCCAAAATAACTTCCTTAAAAACATTTATCATTCTAAAATAATTTCCTTCCGCAACATAAATTCTAAAAATATTATAATAATTTTGTTATTCAAAATAAATTCTTTAATTTATTATATTTATCCTAAAAATACTATTTATCCCATAATTACTATCCATTCAATATTATTCATCAAACCCACGCAGATAAATATTAACAGATCTAAAATTGCAGATAATTCTAATAAATAGAAAAAGTAGTTCTGAGCAAGCGGGATCTTGCCTCGGGGATTTATCGAACGAATCGACGTCGCCGTGCGAGGCTACAGGTCCGCGAACGAGGAGGCAGCGATAGGCAGCGACGGTGACGACGAGCGGTGGAGGACAGCGGCTACGAGGAGGCTTGGGCAGCAGCAGATCTGGCGGCTCGGGTTCGGAGTTCGTCGGCGTGCAGCTG